ATAAAACAACCTTGAGGAATATGGAACCCAAAATATTCCAACCTCACGGCCTGGGTTTAATAAAGTTACTTGGCAGTCGTAACCTTGAGCTCTTTTAGTTTTTTAGTGTTAGATGTAGGCCATGGCCTCTCTAATGTTGAGAAATAATGCTCTGTACTTCATATACTTACCCTAAACCTGCTTCATAAATCACACTCTCCGCATTTATCAATTAATGAGCCCATTAAGTGCCAGTTTTTAAACCAAAGTAGCTTCATTTTAGTGCAATCTATAAACATGGGGGGTCCATACCATAGCAACGAGAGGAAGAATGGTGTCATGATCAACATGAATTATTTTTTTTGGAAGGTATTCTGTTTTTTTTTTCTCTCATTGTACTAGATATCAACACAATTGTAGGTAAGTGCTTGGATATTTCAGCAATAAAAAATTTAGCTTCTGAGTAGTAAAAATTATCAGATTATTCATGGTCAACCAATACCCTCCATTTTCTTAAGAATATGCTTATGACCTTCATCCGGTGTTTATTGCTCCAAGTAATCAAAATGTCAAGGATCAACAATACCTTAATAGAATCTGAAGCCTTGTTTCTATATATTTTTTGGAGTCCCACACAGTAGACACCAAGCCTTTTCCATTTTATTTGTTTAAACATCTAGTGTGTGAACTATTTGATTTGTAATTGTACCTTGAATCTCAGCAATTCCAAATCCTTCAGCGCTAGTTATCTTTCCCATATATATGGAATATGATCTAGTCTTTATGGCCATAATGCTAGCGTCTTCCAAGGGAGTGGAGTTTAGCTTTGGCTCCACCTTTAAGGGGGGCGGTGCTGGCATGGTCCTAGTCTCTCTAGGTGGCACTGAAGTCAATCTCTCTTACAAACTAGAGTTTGAATGCTTCTCCAACTATGAAGCTTTGATCAGTGGCCTTGGTTGTCACGCAATACGGGAGCCACTCTTCTATGCATTAAAGGCAACTAAAAACTTGTGGTGAAGCAAACTAACAATGATTAAGCAATCAAAGAGTCCACCTTGGCCTTCTCTATGACAATAGTCCAAAGGCTTATGGACAGATTTGGCAAGCTATAAAAAGACACAGCTAGCTAGTTCATTAAAACTAGCAAGGGATTGTCGCATCCCTTCTAGCACCTTAAAATTTCACCAAGTATCCTTGTAAAAATTAAAGAAATGTTTGTATTTGTTTTGTCCCTCTATTTTTCTCGTGTGTTTATTTTTCCCTCCCCTATTTTTCTCATCATCCTTATTCTTATGTGACTTTTCTTATTCTTTTCACAAATTCACGTTGATCTGATTCATGAACCCAGACATCCACCCCGTAACATCCAAAAAGGGAGAGGGAGGGCTTTCATCTAAATCATAGAAAAGTTGTAGGTCAATAATAAAAGGAGTGGTGCCTTTGTTTTATCTAAATCATTTCCAAACATCCTATTCCAAAACCAACATGATAGTAAATAAAGTGGATAAATCTCCAGGGTTGATGTTCATACGAGTCATGTTACAAGGTCATTTTTACCGGTAATATTTGGAAGGCTTGACACTTATTGCGCAGGTTTTAGGTCTTACACCATGGACACTCAGGCCAACTTAATTCTGCTTTAACATCTCCTCATAGCTTTACCACTTTATTTACTTTTTAAAATAGCACAAAAGTGTGATTCCAAAATATTATTTTCCAAAACAATGCAAATGCTCCAAGACATAATACGAGAATTTCCAAAATGTTCCATGATATGAATGATTTCAAATTGCCCAACCCACTTGCAATTTCTAACACACGGAAATGCTATCCTCCACCGATAGCCAAAACAACTATCTCTAATGCAGTAAATAAAAGATAACAATACAGATATACAATCTCGTAGTTTAAAAATTAGCTTTTTAAAACATTTCCAAAAGAGTATTTAATACTCAATATTTTCTAAAAATCTCATCATACTTTTCCAACCAAATTCATTTTCCAAAACATACCAAATTCCCCAAATCAACATTATTTAGGATCTTTCCACAAATTGGGGCTTTTCTTTTTTAAAATATCACATGCAAGTTTATATACCAAAAATAGATTTAATAGCAAAATCATAACCAACAGTCCCCAATTTGGACAAACCATTAACCCACAAAACATACTCCAAAATCAATCTAAGTAACCATAAGATCTATATATCAAAATATATTACAAATACACCAACGAACTCATATCGAGTTAAGGAAATAGACCTTACTTCTTGAAGCGAAGAGAAGACAAGTCGGAAAAATTGCTGGCGACGAAAAGACGATTCGCTCATATTAAATGGAAGCCCTTGCCGAGCTCTACGTTTTTGTCTAAGGGACTAGGGATATAAAATGGGTAAAAATAGATGAAACTCAAGCTTGAAAGCTTGAAAACTGTTAACAATGGCGAGCGAGAGAGAGAGAGAGACAGAGAGAGAGAGAAAAGATTTGAAAAAAGTGATGTTTTCCATGCATTCACTGCTTATATAGACGGACAGACCGCGATCGCGAACAGCAAGACAAAACACGATCGCGGGCACTACCACAAACACCGCGGGCACGATCTGCCAAGCAACACGGTCATGGGCGCGACCTGTTTAGCCGCGGCCTAACACCTCGACCTCTTGCGGCCCACGCACCCAAGCCCCAGGCCAAGGGACCTGAGAGCTAGTTTTGATCGTGACCTAGTCGCGGCCCATTAGCGGGTGCGGCCTCTAGCCATGCCCATCGCGGGCATGATGATACTGGTTGCAGGCATGACTAGTTTAGTCCAATAATTTATTTATTTATTTAATTTTTTTTTTGGCAAAGTTTCTTTTTTATAATTTTTGAGTTAATAGGTTTAAGTTTTAGGCTATCCTCGATTTAGGTAAAGGATGCCGTTTTTTATTATTTTATTATTTTTTGGTTTATTTAAAAAATAATTTGGAAATATGATAATAAGTAATGCTTTTACTTTTTTTAAAAAAAATTATTTTAATATGGTATTACATCACTTGTAAATTTGTAAATTGACTATAACTATCATGCAATTTTGTTTTGTTTTGTTTTTTGTTTTTGGCTTATTCACGCACATGAGGGTATTTTGATAATTTCATTCGTTGACTTATTTTCAACTTCTCAATTTTTATTTTTTTATTTTCTATTTTTTTTGTGTTCAAATATGCTGGCTTTTAACTTTTTGAAAAATAAGCGAAAAACAAGTTTTTTTTATTTCTTCAAAAAACACCTTAAAAATTAATTTGGTGAAAGAGAATAGTAGTAGGGAGAGGGAATACAAAAGTGACTTTGAATGTGGTGCAGAAAAAGGAAGAGAGTAAAAACGATGATGAACAAAGGTCGATGGTTAATTGAGAGAGTTGTCTAGTATGTGGAAAAGGCAAGGAAACAAACGTCAAATAAAAGATTCGATCATAGCGTTTGATTTAATTACGATGTTAACAACTGCTTGATGAATTGAATCTTAAATTGTAATGAACACGTAGCAGTAGGAAAACAATGGGATAGGGAGTTAGGACAAAAACAAAAATAGGGACATATGACTCCAACCCTAAATTTATAGCTAAAATGGATAAATTATTGAAATTGCAATCATTTCAAAATTTAATTATTTAAAAAAAAATTCAAAGGTTTTGCTTATTATAATCTAGTAGTTTCTTCTTCTTCTTTTTCACATATGACCTAACATAGGTTTGGTTTGTTCTGTTTTTTATTTATTTTATTTTATTTATTTATAAATAATTTGTTTTTTTGTTTTCCATTTTTTAGTGCCTTTTTTTTTAATATTTTACGCAATAATTTTTTTTAAATTTTTTTTGTAAATACATCAACCAAGATACACTTAAAAAATATAAATATTTGTGAAAAAAGTATTTTTAAAAAACCACTAAAAATCAGTAATTTTTTTTATTTTATTGTATTCAATGAATTTTTTAAAAAATTGTATACAAATTTTATAACTTTTAAATATATCAAGATTAAATTAATCTAATTTTTTTTAAATATTTAAACAAATCACTAAAAATACAAAAAAATACGAATTCAAAACTCATAAAATTGTTTTTTAAAAAAATATCCAAACCAAATAAAGTACATAACTAAATCACGGAAAAGTATCTCCAACTCTTCAATAATTTTGTCAAATATTTATCAAATCAATAAATAGTCATTTTTTTTTATCAAATTTAAATTTGAAAAAAATTTAAAAGATGAAACATTGGAGATAATTATTTATTTTCCCAACAAATTTGATGCAACCATAAATTTGCCATTCAAAGAAATGTTTTAATAATATTTTGATGAAAATTTGGCAAAAAAATTAGAATAATTCATATCAAATCAAAAAAAAAATTGGGTCAAATTTATAATCAAACTAAATAATAAAATTTATGAAGAATTGGAGATACTCTTAAATATATATATATATACACACACACGTGTGTGTGAAATAATATGAGTGAACTTGTATATTTTATCATAAATTCCATCATGTAATGTGTAAGACCATTATTATCTTATGTGATTGGCTCGATGTAATAGTAGTTTTGGTATGATAAATGATGTTTTATTCATATCTTTTAGGTCATGTAAATGTAAATATCTAGGAATAATTACAAAAAATCGTTCTTGAGTTTTATAATAAAATAAACAATGAATTTTTAATTTTATCAATTTAAATTATATTATTTTGATTTATTTTAAATTTAAATATTTGACTATTTTTATTAAATAAAATTGTCAGAAAAATAATATTTTAGAATGTATAAAATATATTTTTTTATTAAATTTATGATTAAAAGACTAATTTTTTCATCGATTTTATTTAACGAAAATAAATAAATAAATTAGATTAAAAAATAAAATATAGATTTTAAATTAATAAAATTTAAAAATTATAATTTATTTTGTTACAAAAGTGAAATTTTAGATTTTTTTTAAAAAAAATTTCCAAATATGTATATAGTAATTGGGCGAACACCCGGCAATCGGTGTTCCTCTGGTTTGCCCTAAAAGTTAACATTCGATTCGACTTTGCGAGTGAACGCTGAGACTAAAATATTCTTCTTCAGCATCCAAGAAGCCCTTTGCATCTGCTATATAGCTGGTTCAAGATTTGTTGTTTTTGTTGCTTTTTTGTTTGGAGACAGAGAAAATGCTGGACATAAATCTTTTCCGGGAAGATAAGGGTCACAATCCGGAAATTATACGCGAATCTCAGCGCCGGAGATTCGCAAACGTCGATCTTGTCGATGAGGTCATTGCTCTTGACAAAGAATGGCGACAGCGTAACTAATCTCTCTCACGATTCTTCTTCTTTTTTATTTTATTTGAATTTTTTAAATGAGTTTAGGTTTTGATAATATTTGTGTGTATGATGATGAAACTTCGTATGGTTGTTTAGGTCAATTTGAGTACGATGGTCTCAGGAAAGATTTTAACAAGATTAACAAAGAAGTCGCCAAATTAAAGATTGTAAGTGTTATGATTGATTTTTTTTACTGGGGACTTTGTTGTTCATGTTCAAACCAAATTATAGAGAACTTTTTAAACTGAGTATCTGTGTGGTTATGTTGTATGTATGGATGGATGGATTTGTGTTGGGTATTTAAACTTAATTGCGGACAATTTATTAAACTTGAGATTTTGCACTATTGTGTTCATTTGAATTTTGGTAAAATGGGCTTTCTTAGTTTGAAACCCATTACACATGTGGGCATTTGGATTAATTTTCAAATGTAGTAGCTAAGGAAGAAGAAACAGAGGCATAAGGAAGAAAGTGCAGAATCTGTGTATTATTTTCAGAATTTTACATACCCCCATATGGGAGTTCCTCAACTATTTATAACTACTTCTTCACCTCACACTTCTAACTGACTAACTAATTCACAACTGACTTCTCACACTTCTAACTGACTAACTAATTCACAACTGATTTCCTGTAACTGACTAACTAATCTCTTCCTGTAACTGACTAACTAATCTCTCAACCACTACCTAACTGACTTCCCTCAACTGACCCACAATTGACCCACAATTCAGAACCTTCTTGACATAACATTCCCTGCTGGTTGAGAAATAGCCTTGACCTCAAGGCTGAAATTGAGGATATTTTGCTTCTATCTCAGAATGATCAACCCAGGTAGCATTCTCTGGAAAAGAATTCGTCCGTTGGACTAACCACTGAACCACAGCCTCATTACCCCGCTTAACCATCCTCCTATCCAAGACAGCCATAGGTTCCAGTTGCAAAGTTCCCTAAAGGCCTATTGGGGGAAGAGTAGTGTGAGCTAACACATTAGTCCCGATTTTCTCCTTAAGCAGTGTGACATGAAAAACAGGGTGAATTTAGCAGTTGTTGGTAACTCCAGCTTATAAGCTACTGAACCAACCCTTTCCAAGACCTGATATGGTCCATAAAACCTTGGAAATAGCTTCATATTTCTCTACAAAGCCACTGCAGTCTGCTTATAGGGTTGTAACCTGAGGAACACCCAGTCCTCAATTTCAAATTCCCTTTCAGATCTGCCCTTATCAGCATAATGTTTCATCCTCTGCTATGCCTGAGTTAAATGCTCCCTTAAGGTCTTGATAACAGCAGCCCTCTCTTTTACCCAATTATCCACAACTGCTACTGAAGAAGGTGTGGAAAGGCAAAAAGTATGGTCGGGAGGTTCTTGTCCATAGACTGCAAAGTAAGGAATAGTTTTGGTGGCAGCATGATAGGTGGTATTATACCACCACTCAGCTAAAGAGAGCCACTTAGCCCACTGCCTAGGACAGTCTCTAGACATACACCTGAGGTAGTTCTCCAAACATTTGTTCAAAATTTCAGTTTGACTATCCGTTTGAGGGTGATAAGCAGTGCTAAGGCACAACTTACAGCCCTGTAAAGTGAAAAGTTCATGCCAAAAATGGCTAGTAAACACAGCATCTCTATCTGAAACAATGGTAGAAGGAAGACCATGCAACTTAAACACTTGATCAAAGAATACTTTGGCCACATTTGCAGTTGTACAAGGATGTGATAAAGCCATGAAATGGCCATATTTTGACAACCTATCTACGACTACAAAGATCACAGTCTTGCCTTGAGAATTTGGTAAACCTTCAATGAAATCTATGGAAATATCAGACCATACCCTATTAGGAATGGGAAGGGGCTGCAATAGGCCTGGATACTTGACATTTTCACTTTTGTACCTCTGACATGTATTACATTCAGAAATGAACTGAGCCACATCCTGCTGTAGGCCCTTCCAATAAAAACTTCAATGTAGTCTTTTTGTGGTCTTGATTATTCCCGAGTGTCCTCCCAAAGGTGAAGAATGGAAGTCCTGAATAAGCTGCATCCTGAGGGCTAAGTTTCCAACTACCAACCTGCCATGGTAGGTTAAAATATCATGGTCCCAAGCATAACCAGCATGAGCTTGACCTTGTTGCAGGTTCAAAATCAACTGTTGAATGTCAACATCTTCACTCCAACTGAGCTTTACTTCAGCCAACCAACTGGTAGAGATACAAGATAAAGCATGAATCATAGCTATTGAATTAGCAGTATTGATCAACTCTTCTTTCCTGGACAAAGCATCAGCAGCTTGGTTATCTTTCCCACATTTGTATGTGATAGTGTAGTCAAAACCCAATAGCTTGGTCACCCATTTTTGCTGGAAAGGAGTTCCCACTCTCTGCTCCAAAAGATATTTGAGGCTTTGGTGGTCAGTCCTAATAAGGAAGTGCCTACCTAGAAGGTAATGCCTCCATTTGAGGACTGCCAACACTACTGCCATTAATTCTTTTTCATAGGTAGAGAGAGCTTGGTCTCTTGCTAAAATGCCCTTACTCCAATAGGCAATGGGATGTCCATCTTGCATAAGCACAACCCCAAGGCCTGTGCCAGAGGCATCTGACTCTAAAACAAAGGCCTTACTATAATCAGGTAAGGCAAGGACTGGTGTGGAATGCAGGGCAACTTTGAGTTGAAGAAAAGCTGTTGTAGCTATAAGGGACCATACAAAGGAATCTTTCTTGAGCAAACAATGAAGTGGAGAGCAAATTCGACCATAATGCTGGATAAATCTTCTATAATAACCAGTGAAACCCAAAAAACCCCTCAATTCCTTGATAGTAGAAGGGATTGGCCAAGATTTGATAGCTTGTAACTTTGTTGGTTCTGCAGAAACACCCTTAGCTGAAACTAAATGTCCCAAATACTCCACCTCATCCTTCCCAAAAACACATTTGGACATTTTTGCAAACAAATGATGTTGCCTAAGCAATTGTAAAGTGAGCTGCAAATACTATAAATGGTCTCCCCATGACCCACTATATACCAGGATATCATAAAAAAAGACCAGAATAAATTTCCTTAAAAAAAGTCTAAAGACTTCATTCATGAGACTTTGAAAGGTAGAAGGGGCATTAATGAGTCCAAAGGGCATCACTAAAAATTCGTAGTGCCCATCATGGGTTCTAAAAGTCGTTTTGTCAATGTCAGAGGAATGAACCCTGATTTGGTGATAGCCCGACCTGAGATCCAGTTTAGAAAAATACTGTGCCCCACATAATTCATCCAAAAGTTCATCAATTACTGGGATAGGAAACTTATCTTTGACAGTAGCGTTATTAAGAGCTTTATAATCCACACACATTCTCCAAGTGCCATCTTTCTTCTTAACCAATAGCACTGGTGAAGAATATGGACTGACACTAGGCCTTATTATACCAGAGGTAAGCATGTCTTTTACTTGTTTCTCAATCTCAATTTTTTGAAAGTAAGGATACCTATAAGGTCTCACATTTGTGGGTTCAATCCCTGGTTTGAGAGGGATGCAAAGGTCATGAGATCTAGGAGGTTGTAAGTCCTTTGGTTCTTGAAATACACCCGCAAAGTCAGAAAGCAAAGCCTCCAAGTCTGGTGGAGTCTCCTCTTCCCTCATATGATAATCAGCCTACAATAAATAGAGTTGGGCTATGGCTCCTTGTGGCTGTTTGTGCAACAACTTCTGCATTTTTTCAAGACAATCAACTTGCAACAAATAGAGTTGGGCTATGGCTCCTTGTGGCTGTTTGTGCAGCAACTTCTGCATTTTTTCTGGGCTCAAAACCTTTAACTCATTTCTCTTTCCCCCTCTTAAAACATGTTTTCTGCCATTGAGATGAAACTCCATGCTAAGATGCTTAAAATCCCACTTAACTGGACCTAGAGTTGCCAACCATTGGATACCCAAAACCATATCACAGCCCTTTAGTTGCAGGACCCTTATGTTAGCCCGAAAAATTGTGCCTTGCATTTCCCACTGAAAATCTTTGCACTTGGCTGTACTCAACATTCTGGTCCCATCAGCAACTGATACTGGTAAGGAATCAGTATTTTCAGTCTCGATATTAGCTGTTTTGGCCACTGTTGGACTCAGAAAATTATGTGTACTCCCTGAATCAATCAAGATGATGATGAGGTGTTTTTTAACATTACCTCTAACCCTCATTGTTCTATAAGAGAGTGTACCAGTTAAAGCATTCAAAGAAATCTGCAGTTCCTCCCCAGATAACGGATCCTCATCTTCTTGTTTATCTTCATCAAGAACTGGTAGTTGATCATCTTCCTCCCCATCTTCTCCTCCTTTCATAACATACAATTGTTTGTTTTTACACACATGCCCTTTAGTATATCTCTCATTGCACTTAAAACATAACCCTTTGGCCTTCTTTTCCTCCAATTCCTTAGATAACTCTTTTCGAACATATCCCCCATTACCCACTTGTGACCTGTTTATAGAAAAAGGAGGGATGCCTTCTGATTTGGTTCCCAACCTAGTCTTCTTGGTAATGGCTTCAATACTTGTTTCTTGAGGTTTTGCCAACCCAATAGCCTGAGTGATAGAGGTTGGTTTAAACATTAATACCCTTGGTTGAATTTCATCCTTAAGACCACTTATGAAACAACTAATAAAGAAAGTTTCAAGGAGGTTTTGAGTTTTGTTCGCCAAAACCTCAAACTGTTCTTGGTAAGCTCTCACAGTAGTGGTCTGCTTCAATTTGGTTAGGTTACCCATTGCATCTTCATATGAATTTGGGCCAAATCTTGATAAAAGTCCTTGTGTAAACAAATCCCAAGCAATATGATGATGGCATCTTTCAAACCATTGAAACCACTGCAAGGACGAGTCCTCCAAATGAAGAGATACCAATTTCACTCTATCAAGATTGTCAACAATATTGTACTCAAAAAATCTTTCACATTTATAAAGCCAACCAGTTGGATTATCACCATAGGAGCGAGGAAATTCAATCTTCGCGAATCGTTGATGAGATTGGTAGTCTATCTTGAATGGCAATTCCTCACGAGCTTGAAAATCCCCACGGGCTTGAACCCTTTCTGGAGAAACCCCTGACTGTTCTTGGCGGAGCATTCTAGAATTGTTACTCCGATCTACATGTTGTTTCCCATAGATGTGTCCTGCCATTTGATCATACTTCATACTCATGGCAGCAATCAATTCCTTGATATCCCCCAATTCTTTGAGAGAACTCCTGATTTTCCCGATTTCCTTCGCATTTCTCTCATTACCCTCCTTTAATGAGCGTAATGTCTCCTCAATTTTTTTAGCTTCCTGGGCTGCTCTAGTTCCGTCGGCCATAGTGGCAGCAGAGGATGAACAGGCCAAGAACCTGGGTGCTTTGATACCAATGTAGTAGCTAAGAAAGAAGAAACAGAGGCATAAGGAAGAAAGTGCAGAATCTGTGTATTATTTTTAGAATTTTACATACCCCCTATATGGGAGTTCCTCAACTATTTATAACTACTTCTTCACCTCACACTTCTAACTGACTAACTAATTCACAACTGACTTCTCACACTTCTAACGGACTAACTAATTCACAACTGATTTCCTGTAACTGACTAACTAATCTCTCAACCACTACCTAACTGACTTCCCTCAACTGACCCACAACTGACCCACAATTCAGAACCTTCTTGACATAACATCAATTTTTTTTTTTTAATACTGCAAGACATGAAGAAAGTAGTAAAGTGGGACCGTAGAAAATGTGAATTCAGGGTTGGACACTGGTGATTAAAAAATCCATTGATGTGAGGATGAAAAAATTGGAAAGAAAGATTCAAGAGTTGGAAACTCTACCTCTAGGCCCTGTTTGTTTTGGGGTGTAATGAATGGGAGGGGATTAGGATAGAGGTGGGGCTATTTAGTGTGGTGTTTGTTTGCAGAGTTGGGGAATGGATTAGGATGGAGGAGGAGATATCGATGGAAGTTAGAAGGGGGATTGGGATGGAGGAGGTGGAGGTGGTATTAGAAAAATAGTGAGGGGATTAGAAATTTTTTTATTTTTTATATATTGGGAATTTTTTTTTAAATATTAATATTTAATTTTTTATATTTATTTATTTATTTAATTATTTTATATAAAAATAATTTAATAATTCCTACATTAACAACTATCATCAAAACAAATACAATTTTACTTAATCCCTTTACTAACAATCCCCTCACTATTAATTCCCTCACTATGAATCCCCTCCATTCTACCTCTGAAAACAAATGGGGCCCTAGTATGTTTGGAGTGACAAGTTGCTTATCCTCCTTATGTTTGGTTTAGATGAGAAGGAAGGAAAGAAGGGAAAATGTGTTCTTTGTTTTTTTCATTAATCCATGGGAAATAAAAAAGAAGAGCCAATTGTTTTGGAGGATAAATGCCCAAAAGGGAGGAAAGTCATCCTCCTTGTTTCCACCCACTTTTGGAGGGAATGACTTGGTTAGCCTGGAGGTATAGTGCTTCCAGACTCTATTTCTTCTCTCTCTGTTGCTTCCAACCCATTGTACTTTAGGGTTTGAAGATGGGTTTATCAGCATGGTTGACGAATCAAATATTGGGGTTAACTGTCCTGCTAATGAACCATTCTATTTGTGTTCTTGTTGTTTTTATCCTCCATCATGCCCGTTACACGGTCAGTTATGGTAGGTATCTAAGCATCCATTAGTTAAGGGGGTCGGGGGACAAAGCACAAACTGCACTTTGGTCTTTTCATAAATTGGATGGAACGAAACACTTGGGTTATGTTATATATATGGGCTTTTTTCTCAAAAATCTGCACAGTTAGATAGGACTTTTGGACATTGGATTCCACAGCTGCCCATGTTTTATTTTTCTGAATTTCATACTTTTGTACCACAAATTGGATGTTAGAGCTTACAGATGATGGTTTGGTTTCGAAATGAATTTAGTAGTTTCTACTCAATGTATAAATTGATATTTTTTCTTTGCCCTTGTGTCTTGGGATTTTAAACAGTCTGGTGGGGATGCTAGTGAAGTGATTAGAAGTACTGAGGAGAATAAAAAATTGACAGCAGAAAAAGAAACAGAAGTTCAAGAGGCTCGAGCAGCCTTGTATTCAAAATTGGAAATAATTGGAAACCTTGTGCATGATTCAGTTCCAGTTGACAATGATGAGGTATGGATGGAATTTTATTTGTCATTAAATTTATGAAAAAATGGGTCCATTATTTTTAGCCGACTTTGACTAATTTTGTAGGCAAATAATGCCATAATTCGATCTTGGGGAGAGAGACGGTTGGAACCCAAGCTGAAAAATCATGTTGACCTTGTTGAGCTTCTTGGAATTGCAGATATAAAGAAAGGTATTAAGTTGGATGTTTATTTTGTCTGGTTATTTAAGAAAATGTTCCTACGTGACATTAAGATGATTAAAACGTGAGTAAATTTCATATTACCCCCAAACTACCACTAAACTTCAATTTGACCCCTGTCTGTAAACAATTTTACACCTAAGCTATTCTGATTTGGATCAATGTGACCTTGCCATCACATGCCGTCTATAATCAAACAAAAATCTTTATTTTACCCCCCAAACCCTCTGTTCAGGGTCTAATTGAGTTTTAAGAGATATTTTGGAGGGTAAAATGAAGGGATTCTGTTTGATTATTGATGGCAGGTGATGACGTGAGTCACATTGATCAAATTCAAAATAGTTTGGATGTGAAATTGATATATAATATAATTAAAAGGACGGGGGTCAAATTGTTTTTTGCGGGATAGTTTGGGGGTAAAATGACATTTGCTCTTAAAACATACGAGTACTGGTTTGAACTGCTGTGTAATCGAGGTTGTATTTTTTCTACAAGTCTGTTTTCAAATAATTTTTGTTTCACTCTATTGTAATGTATTGTGTTGACTAATTTTTGTTTCACTCTATTGTAATGTATTGTGTTGACTAGAATGATTGATCAGAGGTGTAACGTCTTTTGTACCTTTCTTCCTTCCAAATTACTCTAAGTAAACATTATTTGTAGTGTGGATTTTATCAAGGTTTGTATTATTTTCCTACTGAAAACTCTGTGTCAGGTTGCTGCACTAGGTAGCTTTGAATCTGAATGTCATAGAGTTATTTGCTTGTGCTCTATCGTTGGTCATACGTGTTGCTCTAGAACAAGTAATTCAATCAATAAAAAACCTGTGCATCGAGGTTAGCAATGTGGAGATTAATGTCCATTAGATTTGTGCTGACTTCCATTATACTTCTAACATCTATGTTCTACTACTTTTATCATATAGACGATTCCCTCAAATATCTTGGTTTTCATGGCTCATCCATCACCTATGAAGTATGAACACTTCAACTTAGTTGTCTTGGATTTCATAACTGTGTCTAACACCGTAACACCTTGGACATGTTAAGATACGTATCAAACATGCCACGTGGTGCGTCTTATTTTTTCACTTATTTTTTCTTTTCCTGAACACCTATGTTCTATCTCTGGATATGCTTCAAGACACAACTATCATATCATGCCATTAGCTGTAAAAAGAGTTATCCTTGATTCATAATCACCACTATGTAAACATGTTTGTGTTAATCATCACTTATGTAGTGTTCTCTTCCTTTTAAACAATACAAAAAAGTAGAGCATTATTTCTCTTAATTTCTGAATTAGTGCTTGATTGTTGAAGTTGAGTCATCATTCTGAATTAGTGTTTGATTGTTAAAATAATATTTTCTATTTTGAATAGGTTAAAATTATGAATTTGAGTGGTTTTTTAATGTTGAATTTGTGATAGTTTTTCATTACTTTTAGTTGCTTGTAGATGTAAATATTTAAATACATAGCAAACAAAAATATAAAAAGTTTTTTTTTTGGTCGTATCCTTCTCGTGTCCGTTCTATGGTTGTATCCATGCTTGTTAGATTCTCTCAAATGCAATTCTTTTATAATTATGTGTTATTAGGTTCATTAGGATGCTAATGCAAATGTTCTTGAAACATCTAGGTGCTAATGTAGCTGGAGGTAGAGGTTTCTATCTGAAAGGAGATGGTGTACGCCTTAATCAAGCTCTAATTAATTTTGGTCTTGATTTTTTGGAGAAAAGGCGGTACACTGCATTGCAAACTCCATTCTTTATGAGGAAAGATATCATGGCAAAGTGTGCTCAGTTAGCACAATTTGATGAAGAACTTTACAAGGTAACATGTGCAATGTTTTTGAGATCATTAGTATATCAAGGTACTGAGTGAAGACATATTAGCTGAATACAAAAATGTACGTGCATCTGTCCTCATTGACATTTTTTGGGGGGTTGGAGCTTCAATGTGTTTGTTTATTTGTAAGCTCATCCGCAAACTATATAGTTTTGAACATACGAGTTTGTTGATTAGTACATGTTGGCACTCTAAGATCTTTAGCCTATGGTTTGCCAAATTCCAGTAAGTAATTTTTTTATGGTTAACTTTACGAGTATCTATTGCAAAAATATATATAGTATCACATTCCATGAAACATGTATGAAGATTTATCGAGTTCAATTCAAGTCAAACCAAATTTGAATGCAGAATAAAGAAATAAATTGTTGCATTGAATGACTAGGGCTATGCAAAGAATTTCTCTCCATGGGATTAGTCATTTCTTGATGCTTCAAATTGTATCTATTGAACTGTATCTTTCAAATGTGATTTATAGGCACGGGTTTGTGTATTTAGCATTTTTTGCTTGACAAATTGTTGGTACGCTTCATAAAGTTCACCATAACAAGAGGATGCCTGATTTAGTTTTTTTTTTACAGGTAACTGGTGAAGGAGATGACAAATATTTGATTGCTACTGCTGAACAGCCACTATGTGCTTATCATCTAGATGATTGGATCCATCCTTCACAGCTACCAATAAGGTTATAACTACTTACATGAATGATAATTGCCTTTATGGCTACTAAAGAATGTTGGAGCATGGACACAGATATGGCATGATACGAGCACTCTGACAACTTTTAAAAAGATTTGATACATGAAAATGATAATGACTTCATTTTTAATAAATAATAGGACATGCTTAGACATGTGTCCGATATGTGTTGGGGTGTGTCTAACAAGTGTCTGTGTTCAACGTTGAACATGGAAACAACACCTTTTTAGAAGTGTTTCTGCTTTTTAGATGGTGGGTTTTATGTTTTATTTTTTTGGTTATAAATCTTTAGTGGCTGCTCTTTGTTGAATTTATGTTGCATGAATTACTAGATATGCTGGATATTCGTCTTGCTTCCGCAAAGAAGCAGGTTCTCATGGCCGCGATACTCTTGGGATTTTCCGAGTTCACCAGTTTGAGAAAGTGGAGCAGTTCTGCCTTACTAGCCCAAATGGCAATGACTCTTGGGACATGCACGAGGAAATGATAACGAACTCAGAAGAGTTTTACAAGATGGTATAGAGCTTTCCTGCCCTCAGAATTTTAGGGGAATGATGTGTATAAGTTTTGGTTATTTCTTCGTTATATTCATTTTTTTTTAATCTGGAGATGCTTGATAATGTTTCTTATAGTACTCATATAGATTATCTTGCCAGGTTTTGTAATGTCATGTAAGATGAGTGATTTTGGAATTGGTTGTTTTGTTTGGTTAATGCTAAAAGTCTGCCACTTGACGCAAAAGAAATGCAGGGTCCTATATATGGGCTCCTGCTGATGATGAATTGATTTTTCTCTATTTAATTATGCATTTTTCTTTCCTACAAGTATGACATAATTCTCTCTATTGCAGCTGAAACTACCCTATCAAATTGTGGCTATTGTTTCCGGTGCTTTGAATGATGCAGCTGCAAAGAAGTATGATTTGGAAGGATGGTTTCCTGCATCCAGCACTTACAGAGAACTTGTTTCCTGTTCAAACTGCACTGACTATCAGTCCAGGAGATTAGAGATTCGATATGGGCAGAAAAAGGTAGATGTTGCCACGTTATGTTTTTTATTATGAAGGCTCCCAACTCTCCATTAAAATATTGATATATCCTTATGCCAATGTGGGTGAGTAAAACAAATGGATTCATTCATAAATCAACGTGGCAAGAAACTGAATTGATTGATACTTGCTGTCACTTTTTTGAGGTGTCGGTTGATGGAATATGGTTTAATGCTGTTTCTTTTTAAATGTGTTTGCAGAGCAACGAGCAGGCTAAGCAGTACGTTCACTTGTTGAACTCTACCCTCACAGCGACAGAGAGGACCATGTGCTGCATCCTTGAGAATTACCAGAGGGAAGATGGCGTGGAGATACCAGAAGTGCTGAGAGAATACATGGGTGGAAAGACCTTCCTGCCCTTCCAGATCGAACCAGTGAAAGAAGCAAAAGGGAAAAAATCAAAGGCTTAATACCGTGCTGGTACACAGTTAAAAGATTTCATGTGTTGTTTACCAATGCCTTGAAGGAGATGCTGTTGCAAGGTGATACGATTTTCTAATGATTGAATGATACGATTTTCTAATGATTGAATGTTACTGGAATGCTGCAACTCAATTCATATTGCTCAGGTTTTGGATTTTTCTTCATAGTCTTTAAGGTTGGAAACCTTGAAGTATTATCTTTTGAAGAACTAATTAGATGACAGTTATGTGAGATATGATTGTCATTTACTCACTATGAATTGAAAGTCCCCACAGAGTGAAATTTTATAAAGACTTTTTTCGTGGCTGTGCTTGTGTATTTGAGTTTATGCTTAGTTGTTGGGCTGGAGGATAACAAGGAAATGGCATGCTTAGGACTGGCTTGACAAGAAGTTTTTTTTGTAGCTTTTTTATTTTTTCAGGATATGTTGCTAAAAAAGTTTTTATTGGCCCCAAAATTGATACCCAATGAACAATTGGATGTATTACTGCTACTATGTCAGATCACTGACAGGCTGATAAAATATCCCAGCACGGGGCGGAGCGTAAGCTGTGCATTTCTTGTCCTCCTCAGATTCCAGGTTAGAGTGCAAATGCATTATAGAAGGAAAAGAATAGAAAAGAAAAGCACGATAATGTATAAATTTTAACAAAAAAGTGGATTCAAATGAGCCACAAAATGCCTATGGCTTGATCCTATTTTTACCTGAATCAGCCAAGTTCTCTTGGTTTTGCTTATTTTAGAAGAGCATAATGCTGGAGGTACTAAAAAATTTATCAAATATTCTAGGTAATATTAACAGGACTTTGGTTTCAAATGTCAGTTACTTTGGAGTGAAAATCCTACCAAATTAATTTCCAAAACTATAATTTGGCATTTTGGCCCTCTCCATCTTTCTTATAATGGGATTTACAAAATTGACTTTTCACTAAATTCCATCCATCTCTTCAGCACTATTGCAACTTTTGTGAAAAAAAGAGTATTTGACGCTACTCATACAATAGAAAAAATTATTAATCATGCTACAAAGGCTATTTTTGTATAGCATGGTAGTTTACCATCTCATAATGAATTTCATTATTTATGTTTGTTATTATTGTAATAATGATATATCATATGATAAATTAAATGTGATACATAAATGTAATTATTTTAAATTAGGGCCCAGCTTGTCTCAAGTTGAGATTAAGACTGGACCCATCCAGTTTGGCCCATGGGGCCCATTTGTGGGGCCCGTTTTGATAATCCGAACCGTTGAATATGTAAAATTTGTCGAGTATTACATGCCTGTAAAAAATCACGTTGATCGGATATCAATAGTTATGTGATCAAATCAGTTTTGTATAAAAAAAATGGGCGGTGAAACAATTAACGGTTGATAAAAAATTGTTTTGTTCATAGAGCTATCGATATCCGATCAACGTAATTTTTTACAGGCATATAGTACTCGACGAGTTCTACACATTGACGGTTCGGATTATCAAAACGGGATCCGTGGTGGGCCCCACGGGCCCAACAGTACGGTCCAGTCCGATCTTGGACTGGACCAAAGCCACTGCCTTAAATTATCATATCGATTTCAACAAATAAAAAATTACAAACATCTTAAAAGGTCATCCTCTACATTTCAACTACCTAATAAAAATATGAATTCAGTTGAATTTGAATGTAATTGAATTTGAGGGGTTCGTAAAACCCTTCATTGATCCTATTTTGATGATTCATAAGACCATCTGTGCATACCATCGAGTTCAGAATGTAAGAGAACTTTAGGAATTCATAAGATTTACGATTGATCCGATTTAATGATCCATGTGATAGGACCATCTGTGTAGTAATATTTTTTGTTTTATCAAATTTGTTTATGAAAAATAGATGTCATATGAACTTAATTTTTTTCCTTCATGAATTATATATATTAAAAGTCATATACCCAGACTTCGGGCTTCTGCCCAGCAGCCCTTCCTCAAGGCACACCCACAGCCAAACTCACCCAGAAGGTCCAACTCACTCGGGACAACAGGGTGTAGGTTTATAGGTTAAACTGACCTGAGCCAAACTTATCAAAAGAAAAGAAAATAAAGTTATCCTAAAATTCAAAAAAAAAAAATTTTGAATTGGGAATCTATAGAAAGATAATCTATATCTATCAAGAAAATTCAAAAAAAAAAAAAAAAAACAAAAAAAACAAAGAAAAAAAAAAAAAAGATTTGAATAGATAAAGATAATTTATATCTATCTATCCAATCTCACATATCTCTCCTATATAAATAGTTACATTTTAATTTATTGTAAACACAAGTAAAACTATTGATGAAATCAAACAAGGCCATTTGTATTCAAGTTTAGAGTTTTGACTACCAACATGAATACTAAATTATTACTATTTGACTACTAACATGGCCATTTGTATTCAAGTAATTATTTATTTTTTTAATATAGTATCAAGAGAGATTTTAAATTTTGTAATTTCTTTTTATTTATTTATTTATTTTTTTTTGAGAAAAGCATAACTGCAGCAATATATAAACGGAAAAACAAAGTACAACATAGAGCTAATTACAACATTATAATAATAATAACACTCCAAAACCTACATACTGCAAATCCAGATTAATAGGGAGAGCTTCTATTGGCAACATCTACGAACACCTGCAAAATGGACACAAAGTAAAGGATTATACCTGACTTCAAAGATTAAGGCGTGGTTTGAGAACATATTTTTGTAGTAATTTTTTGATTTTTGACTGAAATATGATATAAAAAAAATTAGTATGTTTGAGATGATTTTTTAGTTTTTTATGAAAAGATGTACAAAAAGTAGGAGAAAAGAAAATATTTGACTTTTTTGTATAGGTTATTGGCTTTTTGATTTTTTTAGTGATTTTTTGACTTTTTGGCTAAAAAAGTCACTTGTCAAAAGAGGCCTACGTCACTGGTGAAGAATGCCCGCCTTTGAGGAACACGGAAAAGGCTTGGGTCTCTCCAACTATCCTCTATGCAATGTTCCCTTTTATTGTATCAATATTGAATATTATGTATCAGAAACAAAAAGATAAAATGTGTACGGAATTTATTTGTGTGTATCATTCTCATAAGGTATTTTCCACCAAACCAAAAAAAACTCTCTTCTATTTGAATGACTTGATTGGCAATTTCAAAGTAATTTAATTTAGCCATTGAGTGTTCACCATATTTTTGTGATTTGTATGTTTTTATGTAACATTTGATTTTGTGTATTTTATAAATTCTAATGCCTTTTTCTCTTCTACATTTAGTATCTTTTTTTTCTTTTCTTTTTTTCATAAGAAACTTAAATAATTGAGTCTTTTATTTTGTTCTGGTTGTGGGTAGGCAACAGAATATTTTTTTTATCATAGCAAAACATAGCTTTCAATTATATGGAACTTACTGATGTTTAACTGTAATTTTTTTTATTTAAGTTTTGTTTATTTAGTTGTTTAACTGAATCACTTTGTTTGTTTGTTTTTCTTTTGGATTCAAAATACCATCGAAAATAAAAGAATAAAGATTATTGAATTAAAAAGTAGTCTAGGACTTGCAAATTCAACCAGTTATACTTATATATATATATATTGGTTAAAGTGCAAATTAAAATCTACATTTGTTAATGATTTAGTTACAGTGGGCAGGCAATAGAATATTTTTTTTATCATAGCAAAACATAGCTTTCAATTATATGGAACTTATTGATGTTTAACTGTATTTTTTTTTTTTTTTAGTTTTGTTTATTTAGTTGTTTAACTGAATCACTTTGTTTGTTTGTTGTTCTTTTGGATTCAAAATACCATCGAAAATAAAAGAATAAAGATTATTGAATTAAAAAGTAGTGTAGGACTTGCAAATTCAACCAGTTATACTTATATATATATATATTGGTTAAAGTGCAAATTAAAATCTACATTTGTTAATGATTTAGTTACAGTAATATTACAAACTTACAAAATTATCAAGAAAAAAGAAATTCATATTTAATGATAAAAAATATAATTCTATGTACAATGCGGATAATATTAAACCTAAAATCATAACACATCTTATTTTCTGCAATCCTATTTTCAGTTATGATATAGTATATCACACCAGTTACCATTAGTTTATAGTATATTTAAGAGCTCACTATTTATATGAGCAACTTCATTTAGAGTATACTTAAAATCTCCCTCTTTATACAATCAACTTCTCACCATAAACTACTGGCCACCAATTAAGTTTTACAGCTAACAAATTGCTCCAAAAAGACAAGAAATTCTTTGGATTATGACATTTTGACTTATTATACCAATTAAGTTTTACAACTAACAAATTGCTCCAAAAAGATAAGAAATTCTTTGGATTAAGTTTTACAACTAACAAATTGCTCCAAAAAGGTAAGAAATTTTTTGGACTATGACATTTTGGCTTAACCATTGGAGAGTCTTCGACTAACACCTTTTTTTTGTCGCTTTTGATCTGAACCATACAAATTTTGAACCATCAATTTTGAATTAAAATGACATTGCAATTTCGATTTTAGGGCATGAGTTTTCATAGCAAACAAGAAGAATTTTTTTTTTTTTTTGGAATATATTTTGTTTAATTTTCTGAGTTGGGCTTCAAATGGTGAACAAGAAAGAAGTATACAAAGATCTTAGCCCATTTTAAAGTATCATATAATAACAGATGAACAATATATTGTGATGAAGAGTTGAGACAAAAGATAAAAGAAAATTTCTATTTTATTATTTACTCCAAAAACAGTTCCCAAAATGAATGCTGCACAACTAAGAAATCCTCACTACAACCCCTAAGCTAACAATCTACCATATCCTAAAATAAAAACTCTCATTATTTACTCTAAAATAAATGAAAACTCAAAAAATCTAGCAAACAGCCTCCACGACAAGTCTCTTCGTAGTCCCACTAGTGCAGTTTGACTTCCCAAAAACATCGTCCGAGGCTTGAATCGAGCAGCTTACTTTTCCAAGACATGCCTGCAAAATTAAAACAAAAACACAAAATTTTACAACCCATAATTAAAAAAGTTGTGTCAATTACAAAAAATAATAATAATAAAATTATAATTACAGTTTTCAAGAGGTCAATCGGATTGTTTCCACCCTCGCAGCTGCCCTTTTTGAAGGAACCACAGGTGCCTTTCACATCACCAAAACTAGCGAATCGAATGTCTGAAATAGGCCGCCCTTCGCATGACAACTCCATATTATTTTTCTCGTAAGCATTTCCACAAACAGTTCCAGGTGCAACAGTTTGGAAATTCACTTGCGCCGGGTTGCCTCCAAATTCTTCAAAAAGCACCAATGTGTTGATATCATTAGGAATAAATGAGCGCGGAACATGGTACCTACAACAAATCATCAAATAAGTAAAATATAAGCATTTTACTAAATCATTATTAAGTGCAAAAACAAATGAAACTAAATATAAAAAAATTTAGATTCTTACCATCTTTGTGTAGGTTGGCCACAATTGGTAACACATTTGTTATTGTCATATGTACCACGATAATCACAAGCCTCAAGGCTACAACCATCCTCTTTTGCTAAGTAACTTGGCCAGTATCGACCAATACTTTGACCGTTAACCCAAGCCATACCTTTGCCCATGCCTTGCATATCCACAACGACCGGGTCGGTTCCCAATGGAGCTTGGAAGGTTGTCTGATACCGAAAAAAAAAAAAATTTAATTTACTTCTAAATTTTTAAAAATTAATGTTTATAATGAATTTTTTTTTAATTAATTACCTTGTACCACATCATCCTCTGATTAGTTGGCAAATTATCGGATTGCCATTTGGCAGCAAACCGTGAATCTAAGCTAAACAACTCATCGTTGAGACCATGTAGCCCAACCCTATAATTCCATTTATGCGACGACAAGTCCTTGATGATTGTCTCATCGCCATTCCTCCCAATCAACTGAACCGGACCGGGTATTCCAGTATTTATCTCATCAAATTGTGGCCCATAATTCTATTAAAAAAATAAAAATATTAGTTATTGAAAGAAAATCATGTTGTTAAAATATATATATATATATATATATTGTTCTAGATCATGTCATAATCTCTCTCTAATTACCTGCAATCCAATTGTAGCACTGAGCAGCGTTATTTGATTTTTCCCTTGTTTCAACTTTATATTTTTCTCAAAAAAATAGTGAAAAATACCATAGGTTGCCCATTCAGAACCTACATGCAATTAAATTTAAAAAATAAAAATAAAAATTAGTTAATTAGTTAACGCTAAAATGGATGATTCTAATAATGGATAAATAAATAAGAATAATAATTTAATAGTTTACCTATGTATTCGCCATTGATGTATGCATGTAGTACCTGACCAGTGCCATTCACTCTAATGCTTATATTATGACTATGAATCGGATCATCCTTCTTGATATGGACACTATATACATTAATCAAATAAAATCTCAAATTAGTATATGAAATTAAAAAAAAAAAAAAAACAATAAAAACAAAAATATATGAAAAATGGAAAACAAAACTACGTAGAATTACCTCGTCATATACCATAAATAGTCACTAGCATCATCGATAAATTTCTGATCCAACAACTGAGTTTTTGAAACATGGCCTTGTCCGAGCATGATAGTTTTATCGGTATTTTCAGGCCTCCAGGACCAGTTAAGCGCACTTGGTTCGTTTTCAGCTTCATTGGTTTTCTTCACCATCACTGATGTTTGTGTATTTACCTGTAAATAACATTTAAATAAAGATTTAAAATAATTAAAGACATATATAATTTTGTGTTTAGATATATTTTAATTAAAATTTTGAATATATATATATATATATATTTACCTTTGCAGTGTTATATACTTCATTCTTGCAATCTGGAAGAATACTGACAGACCATGCAGGGACATTATAGTCATTTCCTTGGAAGGTGACAGTGGCATCACTGGAGTCATTTGCATTGCCAAAGAAGCAACTTGATGTTTCATTAGTTGCATAAATTGTTACCTACAAAAATAAATTTCAAAGTAAAATATTTAAAATATTTATTTGTATCTATTATATATACATAAATATAATTAAAATGAATTGAAAATATAAACAAATATAAAACCTACCGAAACCATATTGCCAAGATCATTGGTTGTAATATTTCCATGGGTAAGAGTCCTCTCCATTGATTTTAGCACATTATGGAGTTGCTTCAAATGTCCATATTTTGGTTGGTTCAAACCACCTAGAAATAATTATAAATCAATAAAAATAATTAACAAATATATTCAAACATTGATTAATGTAAAGTAAGCCTGTAATTTTACCATATTCATCGAGGGGAGCATCATAATCATACGATGTTGTGATGTATGGACCGCCTGCTGTTCTACCAAAATTGGTACCACCGTGATACTAAAAGACCCAAAATCAGTTTATGTTTTTACCAAATAAAAAAAGAAAAGGATAGGTAATAAAATAAAAAATAAAAAATAAAAAAAAGTACTAACCATGTAGTAATTTTGGAACGTGCCTCCCGTTTGGAAGAAACGTGCAACAGAAAAGGCAAGATCCTCTGCAGTCCTATGTGGATCTAGACCACCCCAATTCTTAAACCTAGAATATTAAATAACAAAATTTAAATTTAAATTTAAAAATAAATAAATAGTCCAACAGAAAATAAAATTTAAACAAAGAAGTAAACTAACCATCCTGTCCAATTTTCAGTCCACATTTTAGGACTACTGGGCCTGTTTGGTGTGAATTGATCACAGTACCAGCCATTGCATGTGTTGATCTGTTCAACAGTACACCCAAAATAAAATAAAATACATTAAATATAAACAAAAAAACAAAATAATCTTACTGTGTAAGATTTCTGTTTCAAAAAATAAATATATATATAAATTAAAAAAAATTTAAAAAAAAAAAAAAAAGAAAGGCACCATTGGCTCGGGAGCATCGGACTCTTGGCACATTATCCATGGAACACCAATGTTTTGCGAGATGGCCATATTTGCACACCAGTCCCTATATGCTTTTCCGGCATATCCATACGACGAAATTACATTGCCATATTCATTCTCAATCTGTTTTATTGAAACAAATTATCATAACTATATGAAAGGGAAAAAAATAAATAAATAAAAAGGAAGAAAAAATTAGTCATACACACCTGAGCAAGAATAATAGGCCCTCCTTGTGATGCAAAAAGCCCCTCTTTCTTAACCATGTCTACTATCAAGGTGGTGAAATTCTGCATTTCATTCTATATAACAAAAAAAATAGATATAAAAAATTAATTAAAAAATTTTAAATTATACAAATTAAGAGTTAAAAAATGTTTTTATGAACAGATGAATCGATTTGAGTACCATAAACACACTATTGGCTGTCCGAAGCTCAATGCCAGGCATATTGTGCAACCACACCGGAAATCCTCTAAAAATATTAAATTTTAAATTAAAAAAAAAAATCAGTTATTTTAATAGCAATAATAATAATAGCAAAAAAAAAAACAAAAATAAATTATGAAAAGAAATTTACCCATAGTTCCACTCTGCGCAAACATAAGGTCCAATCCGAAGTACAGCATAAAGTCCTTCGGATTGAATGGTCTTAATGAACCTTATAAGATCATTATTGCCAGTGAAATCATACTGACGTCGAATTGGCTCGTGAACATTCCAGAAAACATAGGTTTCAACCGTATTTAGTCCACCTTCCTTAGCTTTTTTAATCAAATCGGGCCACATCTTTTGATTATTATCAAACAATAAACAAGTTAGTTTTCTCTGTATCGTTATAATTTTATTAAACATGTAAACAAGCTATACAAAACTCAACAAATTGGTTAAATTTAAAATCTAGCAAAGATAATCATACCTCAACCGTGCTTCGTGGATAATGGATGGAACCTGAAATTAAGATTCGACGCTCGCCATCGATAGTAATGGCTCTGCCATCATGAGAAACCTCAATGGCATATGATGATAGAATCAAAGAACTAAAAGTAAGAACAAGAAAAGCAAAGAAAAACCCAGAAAAACCCATATTCAAAACTTTCCAGTGAATAATAACAATTATATTTTTCGGTAACAAGTAGTAATTATTTTAATTATGCATATGCATCTATTTATAGAGAGGTCACATTAGTTTTGGATAAAACTTAAGAGTTTAAAAATTATCCAAATTCTAGTTATTTTGTCTAAATAAATTACATAATTTTGATTGAAAAACACGCGCATGCAATCTTTTTTATCTTTAATGAATACTTTTGGATAAAATTATGTTTATTTTATATTATTTTGTCTTTTATACTAATTAATTTTTATTTTTCAATATTTGTAAATAAGATCAAAGAAGGAAAAAAAAAAAAACAGATATACAACCACACTACTACTCAAACTCAAACTATGTATTTTTTATATTATTTATTTATTTATTTAATACTAACAAACACTCCCCTATCTAAAGAAAAACAAACACTCCAATATTTTCTCCCATATAATCCGATTCAATCTTTATTTTTATTTTCATCCAATCCTAATCTCTCTCAGTTTTAGTGAAATAATAACTCACTCCAATATATTCTCACATGTAATTTGATTCATATAGTTTTATCCAATCCTAAAATCTCTCTCCTACTCAAATAACCTAACCTACTCCAATATATTCTCTCACCTATTCTGATTCTAGTTGTTTTAGTCAATCCTAGTACTCTCACTCTTCCGCTCATTATTTTGATATAATCAATATATATATTACATAACGTTTCAGTCTAAAAATAATAAAATTGAAATTATTTTAAATTTATGTATTCATAAATGAACAAAGCTCAAGTTTGAGAGATTGTGGCTCCTCTCCACCTATTTTGGTAATTCAAACCACTGTCGGTCCTGGGTTAAGGCCACTAAGGCCTAGGCCTAGAGCTCCCAAATTTTAGCTCAAAATAAGGCCCTAAATTTATTAGTTTTATTATATTAAAAGTTCAAAACTCAATCTTTTTTTTTATTGTTTGAGACCCAGTCTAAAAGGCCTCTAAAAAAAACCTGTTGGACCAAATTAAAAATATATGTCTATATATATATCATCATTGTTAGGCCTAATTAAAAATTTATATAATTAGTCCAAACTAATATATATGATATAATGAGTCCAAATAGAGCTAATGTCAAGATTTTAATAGAATAAATAACTTTATTTTAATTATTTTCCCCTCTCTTTATCATATTTTAATTGAACAAATTTAACCCTAATTTGTTTTCCCTAATTTTGTTTGCCCTAATTTTTTTGCCCTATGAATAATTTTACCCTAATTTATTTTCCTTAATTTTGTTTGCCCTAATTTTTTGCCTCTTTCTTTATCATAATTTAATTGAATAATTTTGCCTTAGTTTTTCCGCCCAATTTTTTTCCAATAATTTGTGTTTTGTTATCAAATAATTAATTGATCGTGATTTGTGTGGATTATGATTGTGTTATCAGATATTATATTACAATAATATAATCATTTCGTTATCAAATATCAACGAATTATGTTGTTTGTATCGATTATTGCTAAATTATAAAACAAGAAAACTCTATTTTATCTTTTTTGAGTCTTTGTAATGATTTTTCGTATCTTAATGTATGAAAATAAATTGTAATGATTATATGTGTAAGGAAACTTTTTGTAACCGCTAAATAATAAAAAAATTATTGGTAATTTTTATCTGTAATTTTTTTTATAAATAATATATATATATATATATATAGGAGAGCCCCACTTTCAAAGTCTTGCCTAAGGTCCCATAAACCTCAGGCCGACCCTAATTCAAACCATTTAATTTGTAGCGCCTATCGAGAAAATCATTTGTAAGAAAATTAGATTAATCAAACATTAGTAATGGATGATTAGAACATATTTGTTTTTTTAAATGGATAGTAAATATAATTTTAAAAATAAACTATATTTTTTTTTGAACAAATATAATTAGTCCGACCTATTTTACATAATTACATTAATTTCTCATGAGATTTGAAAAAAAAATATAACAAGTTTCATTATTTTTGTATAAGTTTAAGGTTCAAAACTAATACTTGTGTAAAGATATAAAGATAAATAATATAAAAGATATGACAAAATTATTTTTTATCCATATGACCAAAAAATAATTAATTGTCGTGTAAATTTAAAAATAAAAAAAAAACTCAATATAATTGTGTCATATTTATGTAATTTATAATATTTTTTGAGGTCAGTGTAATTTACCTATTTATTTTTTGGGATTTTTACGGGTCAGTCCTATTTTCAAGGGTTATTACCCAACAGGTCTTTAATGGAGACTCTTTTACCTATAGGTCCTGAATATTTTTGTTTATTCTGTTTTTGCCCTCATGTTTTTATACTCAGATCTGGAGATGAAAAATGAAAAAATAAAATAAAATCTACTAGTTTTGATGAACCCATCTCGTGCTTCTACTTGGATCAATAACAGAACCAAGAACACCACCTAACTCCAATACTTCATCTCTCTCTCTCTCTCTCTCTAAATTTGTTTATGTTAGGTTTTATTTCTTGGCAATCCCGTTTGACAAAACTCCTTTGAGTTGTAATTTTATTCGCATTTTTATTTCAGTGAGGCTATGAGTTGTTAGATGCGAATCCAACCCGAATCAAGCATTTCAGAGAAGTTTGTGATGATAAAGCTTTCAAGATTGCCACTTCGCTGATTATGACGGGGATCATATTTGTTTTTTTAAATGGATAGTAAATATAATTTTAAAAATAAACTATATTTTTTTTTGAACAAATATAATTAGTCCGACCTATTTTACATAATTACATTAATTTCTCATGAGATTTGAAAAAAAATATAACAAGTTTCATTATTTTTGTATAAGTTTAAGGTTCAAAACTAATACTTGTGTAAAGATATAAAGATAAATAATATAAAAGATATGACAAAATTATTTTTTATCCATATGACCAAAAAATAATTAATTGTTGTGTAAATTTAAAAATAAAAAAAAAACTCAATATAATTGTGTTATATTTATGTAATTTATAATATTTTTTGAGGTCAGTGTAATTTACCTATTTATTTTTGGGGATTTTTACGGGTCAGTCCTATTTTCAAGGGTTATTACCCAACAGGTCTTTAATGGAGACTCTTTTACCTATAGGTCCTGAATATTTTTGTTTATTCTGTTTTTGCCCTCATGTTTTTATACTCAGATCTAGAGATGAAAAATGAAAAAATAAAATAAAATCTACTAGTTTTGATGAACCCATCTTGTGCTTCTACTTGGATCAATAACAGAACCAAGAACACCACCTAACTCCAATACTTCATCTCTCTCTCTCTCTCAATTTGTTTAAATGCAGAGAATCAATAAAATATTTTAACAAATTGGACGTGTCTCTCTCTTTCAGTGGAGGAAGAAAGAAAGCTTGCATATATGAAAGAGAGTCTGTCGACCATTGCCGCCTTCATTGTCGACATCTTCTTTCACTTGCACCATTCCTTCCACCTTTACCGCCACCAATGTCTTTGCCTCCACCTCTACTGTCTTCGCCGACCACTGCCGCCTCCACTTCCATAGTCGTCGTCGCCTCCACCTCTAGATCTAGAATCTAGGCTCTTTGCCGTCGGGTCTTCTCTTGTTCTCTCTCTCTCTCTCTATATATATATATATATATATCTATATATATTGGGGAAGATCCCAATGAAAAAATCTGTTTAAACCAGTGATAAATTTATTTAAACTAGTGATAAATCGGTGATAATTTTGTTTAAACTAATGATAAATTTATCACTGTTGAATTTTTGTAAATTTGTTTTTGTGAATTAGTAAATGAGTGTGTATGTATGTGAGTAGGAAATTTATCACTGCTAAATTATTGTGAATTTATTTTTGTGAATTAGTAAGTGTGTGAATGTGTTTTTGTGAATCAGTGAGTGGGTATGTATGTAAGTATGAGAGAACAAAAGGAACAATATATAAGGAACAAAAGGAAGATAACATACAAGGGAGAGCTTACAGGGGAGAGCTTATGAGCAGCTTCTTTGCTTCACGCATATAGTGTGATATTGAAGAGTAAACTTGAAAATGGAAATAGGACAGGACTTGGTTGGTATTAACTTACTTCCATGGGACCGGCTAGAAAGTCGCCCTTATTTTTCTAACATATCGATGAAGTGGGCCTGAGGTGGCCCACAATCCTCTTTTAACTCAACCCTCCAGTCTTGGATGGTAGGGACTTCATAAATTTGTTTAGTACTTATTTGATATCATTAAAAGATTGTTTGACTAACTTGATCGTCGAAATGTCCCAGAAGGACGAACCACCGCGATATTCTATCGCATGCTCTCCAACTAAGTTTCCTATTTGGTTGTGTACTCAGAAATCAACACCCACACAGAGCATTAGTGAATTGATCATTTTTCACTTTTAGGTACGAGTGCATTCACTTCAATCAATAAAATAAGTCACTTAAATTTTGTATTTGCATGGATCAATGAGTTTTTTTTTTTTAATCTGATGGATCTATGAGTTTTTAATTATAATTATTCAAATGCCACTAAGGCCTAATAGAAGCAGTCCATATATCAAGTGGGATTAAGAATCTTAATAATCAAACTTAAAGTATATTTAAAACCACTAGGTTGTTAAGCTACCAATCAATGTATTTTATATATATTATTATAATCGGGTATCTGAAACAGTTTGTGCATATCTTGACTAATCTCGATACTCTAAAATTAATGATTGAACAAATCTCTAGTAATCTTTTGAACTGACTTCAACTCGAAATGTGAAATCTTAATCTTAAGTATTTATTAGTGGATCAATTCCTTGAAGTTATACTATATGTCTATACATGAATTATGTATACATACAATATATAAGAAATAAAAAGATGGTATTAATTATAAATAAGTGCTATGCATCACTGTCATTTGATTGTGGATTTTGTGGTAGATCTTCTTCTGTATTTTAATCCATCACTACTTTGTATT